TCAACTCATTGTGGAAGACGGTGTGGCGATTCCTCAAGGATCTAGAACTAGAAAATACCCATTTGATCCAGCCATCCCATTACTGGGTATATACTCAAAGGATTATAAATCATGCTGCTATAAAGACACATGCACACGTGTGTTTATTGCGGCACTATTCACAATAGCAAAGACTTGGAACCAACCCAAATGTCCATCAATGACAGACTGATTAAGAAATGTGGCACATACACACCATTGGAATACTGTGCAGCCATAAAGGATGAGTTCATGTCCTTGTAGGAACCTGATGAAGCTGGAACCATCATTCTCAGCAAACTATCGCAAGAACAGAAAACCAAACACCGCATCGTTCACCATAGGTGGGAACTAAAACAATGAGGAACACTTGGACACAGGAAGGGGAACATCACACACCGGGCCTGTTGTGGGGTGAGGGGAAGGGGGAGGATAGCATTAGGAGATATAGCTAATGTAAATGATTTGAGTTAATGGTGCAGCACACCAACATGGCACATGTATACATATAAATAAGTCTGCATGTTGTGCAAGCTATGTACTCTAGAACTTAAAGTATAAAAAATAAAAAAATAAAGCAAAGCAGAAAATAAGAAATGAAGCTACAACCCAACATACATTAGAAAATATAATGAGAATATAAATTCAAATAACATAAATGGAAGGATAAACAGGTAAATGAATGAAACAGAAAATAAAGATAATGATAGAGAGAAGTAATAGGCCACAGTTGGTTCTTTGAGAAAATATCATATACAAATCTTCAACGACTAAGAAAAAAATCACAAAACTATTTGGAAATTAATAGGAAGACATAACTATAGAGGTAGAGGGCCATTTTAAAAAGATAATAGTGCATATTGTGAAACTGATGTCAATATAATTGAAAATGTGTGCCAAGTAGACAATAATTCTGGAAAATATATCTTTAAGAAATTGATTTATGAAGAAATGGAAATCCTAAGTAGCTCAATAGATACTATATAGAGACTATATAAATTTGATCATTAGTTAAGAAGTGTCTCTGTGCCTCTGTCTCTCTGTGTCTCTCACACACACACACACACACACGACCCTAATGGTATTATTGACTAAATACCAAACTCATTCTAATTTTTAAGAAACACCCCCATAAAATTGACATAAGGGGCTACTTTGACATAAGGTGCTGCTTTCCAATAAATTCTATGAGAACACTATGATCTTAATACCAAAACCAAACATATATTAAGTATAATAAAAAATTATAACAGTCTACACAGGAGCACTGATATAAACAATCTTATGAATAGCAAGCATTGACCATGCCTCCAAATTGAAGAATTAATACAAACAAAACAATTAGTGTACAGCTCAAGACAACATACTCTCAAGTGCTAAAACAGACCTACTATTTAAAAGTACTAAGTATACACAGAGCCATGGAGTGGCTGTTGAGAAATTCATGAAGGAAGGAAGGTTGAAACAGAGCTTTAAAATCCTAGGTTTCTGTCTTTTTTTCTTTTTTTTGTCTTGGAGAATAAGTACAAATAGGATTAAAAACAGGAAGCATAGGGAAGTAAATAAACCTGCATGGATGGATTGTGGGTGCACTGGGAAGAACAGCAATAAATAAGGTTGGGGAGGAAATTGGAGATAAATGCATCATCACAATCAAGAATGATTTGCTGGTGGGGCATAGGTTTCACACCAGTAATCCCAGCACTTTGGGAGGCCCAGGCTGGTGAATCACCTGAGGTCAGAAGTTCGAGACCAGCCTGGCCAACATGGCGAAATCCTGTGTCTACTAAAAATACAAAAACTAGCTGGGTGTGGTGGGGTACACCTGTAATCCCAGCTACTCAGGAGGCTGAGGCAGGAGAATTGCTTGAACCTGGGAGGTGGAGGTTGCAGTGAGCCAAGATCACACCACTGCACTCCAACCTGGGCGACAGAGTGAGACTCCATCTCAAAAAAAAAAAAAAAAAGAATGATTTATCGAACTTAGTGATGTAACTGGGAACAGTGAAGTTATGGAATTGATTGTCAGCTCAGTAGAGGGCACTCAAATCCATTAATGGGGGGACAGACCAATGGGCAGTATGATGAACAGATACATTTGATAGGAAACAAGTAGAACTGGTTGTTGAGAAGACACTTTTTTTTTTTTTTTTTTTTTGAGAAGGAGTCTCGCTCTGTCACCCAGGCTGGAGTGCAGTGGTGCAATTTCGGCTAATTGCAAGCTCTGTCTCCCAGGTTCATGCCATTCCAAGCCTCCAGCGCAGCTGGGACTACAGACGCCCGACACCATGCCAGGCTAATTTTTGGGTTTTGTATTATCAGTAGAGACGGGGTTTCACCGTGTTAGCCAGGATGGTTTTGATCTCCTGACTCCGTGAACCAATTCATTAGTGGCCTCCCAAAGTGCTGGAATTACAGGCGTGAACCACCGCACTCGGCCAAGAAGACACATTTTAAAGTTTCATTTGGCCATAAATTGAATTGCTTTTCAAAAGCTGCACTTAGTGACATTGAAAAATCAAGAAATCCTTCTGCCAGACACAGAGTTCCCGCGTGAAAACCCAGTGTAAAGCATCTGTTAATTACTTCCATGGCATCATCGGGAAGTCAGAAGTGAGCTCTTTTGTGATGTTGAAAACCTGCTCGATATCCAGTGCACTATTATTTGTGTACTTATTTGTCTGATGATGGAAATTTGGTTTGTCCCTACTTTCTGTTTTTTTTTTTTTTAATTATTATTATACTTTATGTTCTAGGGCACATGTGCACAATGTGCAGGTTTGTTACATATGTATACATGTGCTATGTTGGTGTGCTGCACCCATTAACTCGTCATTTACATTTAGCTATATTCTCACGTTATCTCCCTTTCCCCTACCCTACTACAACAGGCCCCGGTGTGTGATGTTCCCTTCCTGTGTCCAAGTGTTCTCATTGTTTAATTCCCACCTATGAGTGAGAACGTGCGGTGTTTGGTGTTCTGTTCTTGCTTATAGTTTGCTGAGAATGATGCTGGTTTCAGCTTCATCCAGGTCCCTACAAAGGACATGAACTCATCCTTTTTATGGCTGCACAGTATTCCATGGTGTGTATGTGCCACATTTTCTTAATCCAGTCTGTCATTGATGGACATTTGGGTTGGTTCTGCCCGCACAGGAATAGTGCTGCAATAAACACACGTGTGCATGTGTCTTTATAGCAGCATGATTTATAATCCTTTGAGTATATACTCAGTAATGGGATGGCTGGATCAAATGGTATTTCTAGTTCTAGATCCTGAGGAATCGGCCACACCGTCTTCCACAATGGTTGAACTAGTTTAAGGTCCCACCAACAGTGTAAAAGCTATTTCTCCACATCCTCTCCAGCACCTGTTGTTTCCTGACTTTTTAAAGATTGCCATTCTAACTGGTGTGAGATGGCACCTCACTGTGGTTTTGATTTCATTTCTCTTGATGGCCAGTGGGGATGAGCATTTTTTCATGTGTCTGTTGGTTGCATAAATGTCTTCTTTTGAGAAGTGTCTGTTCATATCCTTTGCCCACTTTTTTGATGGGGTTGTTTGATTTTTCGTGTGAATTTTGTTTGAGTTATTTGTAGATTCTGGGTATTAGCCTTGTCAGATGGGTAGATTGTAAAAATTTCCTCCCATTCTGTAGGTTGCCTGTTCACTCTGATGGTAGTTTCTCTTGCTGTGCAGAAGCTCTTTAGTTTAATTAGATCCCATTTGTCAATTTTGGCTTTGTTGCCATTGCTTTTGGTGTTTTAGTCATGAAGTCCTTGCCTGTGCTGATGTCCTGAATGGTATTGCCTAGGTTTTCTTCTAGGGTTTTTATGGTTTTAGGTTTAACACTTAAGTCTTTAATCCATCTTTTTTTTTTTTTTTTTTTTTTTTTTTTTTGAGACGGAGTCTCGCTCTGTCGCCCAGGCTGGAGTGCAGTGGCCGGATCGCAGCTCACTGCAAGCTCCGCCTCCCGGGTTTACGCCTTTCTCCTGCCTCAGCCTCCCGAGTAGCTGGGACTACAGACGCTCGCCACCTTGCCCGGCTATTTTTTTGTATTTTTTACTAGAGACGGGGTTTCACCGGGTTAGCCAGGATGGTCTTGATCTCCTGACCTCGTGATCCGCCCGTCTCGGCCTCCCAAAGTGCTGGGATTACAGGCTTGAGCCACCGCGCCCGGCCAAGTCTTTAATCCATCTTGAATTAATTTTTGTATAAGGTGTAAAGAAGGGATCCAGTTTCAGCTTTCTACATACGGCAAGCCAGTTTTCCCAGTTATTAAATCCATAAACCTAAATATCCATATCCTATTCATTGTGCTTCTCTAGAGAACACTGACTAATTCACCAGGTTTTTTTTTTTTAAGCTTTATATTCATTTTAGGTTTTTAAATATAACCTTAAAATGTCCAGTCTGGGAAAAGCCACATTTCCAACTTAAAGTTTACTAGAGTGTGGGTGGATCCCTTTTCTCTGTCTCCATCATAAAGTCTCCCCTTCCCTCAATCTTTCTAAGGTGGTTTCTAACCCCTGGCATGGGGCGGGGAGGGGGCAAGGGAGGGAGGAGATGTCAGTGAGCTGGAGACTTTTTACTTGAGTGATACAGGTCCAGGATGGTTTTGTGCTGACCTCTGTGTCAAGATGATCCATCTTGTCATCTCCTGGGGTGCTTTCATGGATTCTGGAGACATCCCCACTCCCAGCAGAGAGCCTCTCATCCTGCCTTTTGCTGTGGGAGACACACTCACCTCCCACTGGTGGCTGTCTTCTCAGCTCCTGTTTTTTCCCTTCCCGCTGAGTTGGCATGCATCACTGCTCCAGGTGGTCCTCTGGGGCATGATCACGCCAACTCCCATAGGGTCCACATCTTATCTACAGAAAATCCTCACATGTTCTAGCTCTGATCACCTTGGAGATCATTAGGGGACTGAGGCTGCCTGCTCAATCGCCTCTCCAAGGCTCCTCTTTCTCCTGTCTTTCAGTTTGCTGAGGTGGAAGTCAGAGACAGGCCCAGCTCCTCCATCCTGCAAGGAGCCCAGATGCAGCTTCCCAATGGTCCTGCTTCAGTGCCCTCAACTGGCTCAGGTAGAGGCATCCTCAGCTCTGCCCCTTGGTGGGGTAGGGCTGGGGTGGGAAGATTCAAAGACCCACTCTCCAAAGTCCTCCTCACTAATTCCTCTGATCTCCAACAACTAGATCATTATATCCTGAATGCGGGTGAGATGTTTTAGGGTCTTACAAATGGCTTTTGTTGGCCAGGTGTGGTGGCTCATGCCTGTAATCCCAGCACTTTGGGAAGCCAAGGTGGGCGGATCACGAGGTCAGGAGTTCAAGACCAACATAGTGAATCCCCAGCTCTACTAAAAATACAAAAAAAAAAAAAAAAATTAGCCAGACGTGGTGGCATGCACCTGTAATCCCAGCTACTCAGGAGGTTGAGGCAGGAGAATCGCTTGAACGTGGAAGGCAGAGGTTGCAGTAAGCCAAGATCGCGCCATTGCACTCCACCTGGGTGACAGGGCGAGAGTCTGTCTAAAACAAAAAAAAATGGCTTTTGTTTATTTCCTTTGAACATTTGCATCTTGGTCTGAGTGTCTTATCTGTTTCACCTTGGCGACTCAGTAGTTCCAATGTAACATCCTGTTACAAACACCAGCACATGCACACACACACATTTACATGTGCAAAGAAATGGGGAACACTTTATGCCACTGAATTTGGCGAGGGACTCTGTGTGTGTCTGGACAGGGAGCAGACTGGAGAGGTGGCTTGCGGGTAGAAGCTGAGGGCTCTGGACTCTCTTCTTTTGGTACCCTCCCCTTCCCTACTCCCCCCATGTCCCAGGCTGCTTTGCATAATGAAGAAAGAATTGGGAGGGCAATTCTTTGAGGAGGGAGAACAGAAGTAAGGAGGTGAGTGCAGCATAGAAGGTGGTGAAAGACAGCCTGACACTTTCAAACTATTTCCCTATCCTCGAATCCTGATAAAATTCAACGAGGGGCCAGCTCCTCCCCTGCAGCAGATGCCAAGTCACACTATCTCATCCCTTCTGTGGGATGGGGGTTCTGCAAAGGGAGGGGACAGCTGGGTTTATCTTGGCCACCACTGGACTCCTTCAAAGTGGGTGACTGATACAGCTCAGATGACTGACCAGGGAGCCAGGGCTGTGATCAGGCTCTTGGTTGGCTGGAATGACCAACCTAAGTAGCCAGCACACCCCAAAGATATCCTCCTGCCACCCACAGGGCCAATGTCCTTGCTTGCTCATCTAATGAGGTACCTGTCCTGCTTGTTTGTCTCTCTCCCCAGGCTCAAGAGTGAGAGACCTGGACAGCTTGCCCTGAGGAAAACTTCAGAAAGAACTGAAGGGACACTGGTGTCTGGCGTGGAAAAAGGATACCTCTGGGTGAAAGGAAGACTATGGGTAGCTCTGGTGACCCAGCCTTGGATTCCAGTTCCCATGGGGGAACACTTTCTCATGGTTAGGTCCCTCGAGGAAGAGATGGCCCTGGAGATGTGCAAGCAGGAGCTAGGAGATGGCCTGCCAGGACATGAAAGAAGAGATGCCCAGGATGGGTGGGAAGCTCACCTAGATTAGAGTCTTCTGATGCACCTCCAGACCCTGGTGGGCTACACAGATCTGCCTTGGTGCTTGTGGAAAATTCAGATTCCTAGGCCAAAACTCTAGTGTTCTATTTACAATGAGGTTAAGGTGAGACTGGGATCTGTAGTTTTAACAAGCTTCCTGGGTGATGCTGGCACAGAGTTCTAGGTTGATGTCTCTGGGGGTGCAGGTTTGAGTGCCAGAGAGAAAAGAGATGTGCTTTATGCCTCATTGTGCCACTCTGGTAACTAAGGCAGGACTCCACACATAGTAGGTATTCAAGGAATGCTTGTGGAAGGAAGGAAGGGAGGGAAGGAAGAATGGAGGAAGAGGAAGGGAAAAAAAGAGAGAAGAAAGGAAAAGAGGGAGGAAGGGAATGAAGAAATCAGGAGAGAGGGGAGGAAGGGAGACTTTTGTCATTAAAACAAGAATCAGTAAATTTAAGAACTGCTTCCCCTCGTGACCGAGAGTCCAAATTCTCATTTCAACCAGCTTTGAATTTCATAAGGAAAGAAGACCTAGTCCGTTTGCTTAAAAATGTGCCCTCAGTGGTGGTTGCAAACTCAAATGTCTTCAGGGCATGGCAAATAATAGAAATGTGATAGGTATAGGGTTGCCAGGTGTTGCAAATTAAAACACAGGATGCTTTTTTAAATTCAAATTTCAGATAAATAACGAATAAATTTCTAGTATAATTAGGTTAAAATACTATGTGAGACATACTTATACTGAAAATATTATTTGTTGTTTATTAAAAATTTTAATGTAATTGGGTGTCTTGTATTTATCTGACAATCCTAGCTAGGGGGTTGAGTAAAAATAAAGAAACTTGTGCCCATCCCCTACCCCCACCAAGACTTTGCGTCATGCATTTTGAGTTCTGTTGTTAGGTGCATAATATGTTAATAATTATTGTGTCTTCTTGCTGGACTGAAACTTTAATCATCATAAAATGTCCTTCTCTGTAGCAACAATTTTTGTCTTAGTCTATTTTATCTGATATTGTATACAGCTACTCCAGCTGTATTTTGGTTACTGTTTGCATAGTATATTTTTTTCATTCTTTTACTTTCAGTCTGTTTGAATATTTGAATCTGAAGTGTATCTCTTGTAAATGGTATATAACTGGATTAAAATCCACCTGCCTGCCAGGTGTGATGGTTCATGCCTGTAATCCCAGCACTTTGGGAGGCTGAGGGGGGCAGATCGCTTGAGCCTAGGAGTTAGAGACCAGCCTAGGCAACATGGTGAAACCCTCATCTCTACAAAAAAGTAAATTATATATATGAAAATTAGTCAGGCATGGCGGCACATGCCTGTAGTCCCAGCTACCTAGGAGGCTGAGGTGGGAAGATCATCTGAGCCCAGGAGTTTGAGGTTGCAGTGAGCTGTGATCACACCACTGCACTCCAGCCTGGGCAACAGAGTGAAATCCTGTCTCAAAAAGAAGTAAAGTAAAAGAGAGAGATAGTTTTCCTAGAGACAGAATTTTTGATTGAGTCTTTCAGTTTCAAGTGATCCTCCTGCCTCAGCCTCCCAAATAGCTAAGACTACAGGTGTATGCCACCATTCCTGAATAATATTTTACTTTTTTTGTAGAGACATCATCTTGCTTTGTTGCCCAGGATGGTCTCGAATTCCTGGCTTCAGGTGATCCTCTTGTCTCAGCCTCCTAAGGTGCTGGGATTATAGGTGTGAGCCACTGTACCAAGCCTTGGTGAGTCTTTCAGCACTTTGAACATGCCACCCTTTTGCCTTCTTGTCTCCATAATTTCTGATAAGAAATTAGTTGTTAAGCTTATTGAGGATCCCTTGTATATGATGAGTCTTTTTCTGTCTTGCTACTTCCTAGATTGTCTTTTGCTTTCAATAATTTCATTGTGATGTGTCTAGGAGTGGATCTTTTGAATGTATCCTACTTGAAGTTTGTTGAACTTCTTGATTTTGTAGATTATGGTTTTCAAAAAAAATCAGATTTACAAAGTCTTTGGCCATCATGTCTCAAACATTCCTTCTGCCTTTTTCTCACTGTCCTCTCATTTCCTCCTGAGACCTCTACTATAGGTATTTTGGTGTACTTTATGGTATCCCACAGTTATCTGAGGCTCTGTTCATTTATTTTTTTCTTCCTGTTGCTCAGGCTAGATCATTGCAAATGATCAGTCTTCACACTAGCTGATTCTTTCTTCTGCCAGCTTAAATCTGCTGCTGAACACTCTAGTGAATTTTTAACTTGTTATACGTATTTTTCTTTTTCTTTTTTTTTTTTTTTTTTTTGAGACGGACTCTTACTCTGTCGCCCAGGCTGGAGTGCAGTGGCACAATCTCGGCTCACTGCAAGCTCCGCTCCGCCTCCTGGGTTCACGCCATTCTCCTGCCTCAGCTTCCCAAGTAGCTGGGACTACAGGCGCACGCCACCACGCTTGGCTAATTTTTTGTAATTTTAGTAGAGACGGGGCTTCACCATGTTAGCCAGGATGGTCTCGAACTCCTGACCTCGTGATCCACCCGCCTTGGCCTCCCAAAGTGCTGGGATTACAGATGTGAGCCACCGCGCCCAGCCATTATACGTATTTTTCAATTTCAAAGTTTCTATTTGGGTTTTTGTTTGTTTGTTTGTTTTGACAGAGTCTTGCTCTTGTTGTCCAGGCTGGAGTGCAGTAGTGTGATCTCGGGTCACTGCAATCTCCACCTCCAGGGTTCAAGCAATTCTCCTGCCTCAGCCTCCCAAGTAGCTGGGATTACAGGTGCATGCCAAGACACCCAGATAATTTTTTTTTTTTGTATTTTTAGTAGAGAAGGGGTTTCACCATGTTAGCCAGGATGGTCTCGATCTCCTGACCTCGTGATCCACCCACCTTGGCCTCCCAAAGTGCTGGGATTACAGGCATGAGCCACCATGCCTGGCTTCTATTTAGTTCTTTACAAAAGTAATTTACATCTCTTTATTGGTATTCTCTGATTGGTGAGACACTGTTCTCACACTTTCCTTCACTTTTTTTGGCATAGTTTCCTTAATTTCTTTGAATATATTTAAAATAGCTGATTTAAATATTTTTCTATTAAGTCAAAGGTATGGCCTTCCTCAGGAACAGTTTCTACTGCCTGCTTTTTTCCCCTGGGTATTGGTCATACTTTCCTGTTTCTTTATGTGCCTTGAAAATTGTTAAAAATTCAACATTTTGAATAACACAGTGTGAAAATTCTGGAAATCAGATGTCCCTCTCCCTAGGGTTCGTTGTTGTTGCTGTTCATTGTTGTTGCTGCCTCTATTTGTTTGTTATGTCTTTCCTGGACTAATTCTGTAAAGTCTGTATTCTTTGCCATGTTTTACCACTGAAGTCTCTGCTTGGTTAACTTAGTGGTCAACCAACGATTGGACAGTGTATTAGTCTGTTTTCACACTGCTATAAAGAATAGACTGGGTAAATTTTTGAAGGAAAGAGGTTTAATCAGCTTACAGTTCATGTGGCTGGGGAGGCCTCAGGAAATTTACAGTCACAGTGGCAGGGGAAGCAGGCATGTCTTACATGGCAGCAGGCAAGAGTGAGAGCAGGAAAAATGGTCACTTATAAAATCATCAGATCTCATGAGAACTCACTGTCATGAGAACAGCATAGGGTAAAACTGCCCCCATGATCTAATCACCTCCCACCAGTTCCCTCCCATGACACATGGGGATTATAATTTGAGATGTGATTTGGGTGGGGACACAGAGCAAAACCATATCAGACAAAGATTTCTTTGAATGCTCTGGACCAGTAAGTCTCCCAGCCTTTGACAAGGGACTTTGTGTGTATCGTTGGGATATGCTTTCAACATTCCAGCATTACCACACTACCTTAGCCTTCACTTCCTGCTTGAGCAGGAGGTGAGGGATTATGGTCTTCTCAGGTATTTCCTGGGAAAGTACACAGTCTTGTACATGTGCACAGCCTTCTAGATCCCCAAGAATAAGTTGGAGTTTTTCAAAGCCCCCAATGGACATCTCATTCCTAACTTTTCTTTTAAATTCTTTCATCAGCTTCTTGTTTGCCCCATCTGTTATCACTGCCTCTGGCAGCTACAATATTAAACAACTGCTGTTGGTTGTTTCTGACAAATGTCCCCAGGGTAAAGACTGTTCACATTGACTGAACTCTCAGGTCAAATAAAGGCAAGCTATGAGAGTAGGGATTTCCAAGAAACTTCCAAACAGGTCAAATAATGACAACTTTCTGGGATGGAACTTGTTAGAAAGCTCCAAACCCTTCTTTCCCTTCCAGCAGCTGCTAAGGTGCTGGTTTTCATGGCTATCATTATTGTAAGGTTGTCAGTTTTCAAGAATACTGCAGAGCTAGGAGAGAGACATGGAAATAGGACAAGTTAAAATGCCACAAATTTCACTGTTCTTACTGAGATCGTCTTGAAAGAAAATGTTCCTGCATTGTTGCAAGCCTTTGATTAACTTCCAGAGTACTGAAAACATCAATTTTGACAATTTTTGCTCTTGTTCTCATTGCTGTTATGGAGGAGTGGATTTTCAGAGGTCCTGACTTCATCATTCCAGAAGTGCACTCTCTTCCGCCCAAAGACACTGAAATTCTTTTTTTTTTTAAAGACAGGGTCTCACTCTGTCCCCCAGACTGGAGTGCAGTGGTGCCATCATGGCTCACTGCAGTTGCAAACTCCCGGGCTCAAGTAATTCTCCCATCTCAGCCTCCTAAGTAGCTGGGAATGCAGGTGTGCACAACAGCGCCTGGCTAATTTTTTGAAATTCAAATTTTAAAAATGTGCAGCTCAAAGAAAAGGGTCTGTAGACTGAGATGGTCTGTGGACATTAGACTTACGGTCTTTGGACCCGAAAGTAAGCACTCTAAAAATATTCATTTAGTTGTACTACAAGGTTGTGACACTTGGGGGAGGAAGAGGACAATGAACAATGAATGATGATTTCATAGAGTGTGTTCTGAGATTTCCTGAGATGTCCGGCTGTGATTCCCTCTCTTCTCATCCCTTCTTACCTCTCAGACCACACGCCTGGCCCTTGGCTGAGGTCCTTGGCAGTTGTGGCCGTCCCCTTGCTCCATTTACTCTCAGCCCGGGATTATTCTCAGGGACCCCAAGGCAAGCAGTGAGGGGCTACTCTCCAAGGAGAAAGGTGTTCTTGGGGAGATGCTACAAGAACCTTATGGCAGAGTCGAGGACCCTTTCTTGGGCAATTTCTCATCATTTGATCAGCACACTAACCCACAGAGGGTGCAGACATGAACACAAAGGAAATGCCTTCCAGCTGCTACTGATTGGTCAGACGATTGGGCACATCTCTCTGATTTATGAGTGAATATGTGTAAATGTTTGAGAGTGTGGGCATGAATATTCATATGTGTGTGAATATGTGAGTCTATGTGAGTATATCAGTGGAAATGTCTGAGCACTTGAGTATAAGTGTGTGTGTATGTAAGTCAAATCTGAGTATGAGCAGGTGTGAATGTTGTGTGTATACGGGTATGGCTGAGTGTGTAAGTCAACATCTTTGCAAGCATGTGTGAATGTGCATATGTCTGAGTACATGTAAGACTGTGAAATATAGATATTAAGTTAGTGAGTGAAGTGTGGGTGTGTGCACATGTGTGAAAGTGTGTTGAGTGTGAATGTGTGTGACTAGCTAAGTGTGAGTAGTTACTGGTCCTTGGCAGTTGTGGCCTCTTGAAATCAGTCTGCCCCTTTCAGAGTCTGCAGGGCCTGACTTCAGTGATGCTAGGTGTGATTGGCTGTGCAACCACACTTACACACACTGTAAGTATACCAGTGTGTGTTCATTGGATGTGTGTGAATCAGCATGTACGAATATATCAGCCTGTGAATGTTTGAGTCTGTGTGTATAACCGTGTGGATGAGTGTGAGTACATGAGAGTGTGTAACTGTGTGCATGTAAATGCTTGAGAGCAGATGTGTGTGAGAAGATTGAATATATACGTTTGAGTGTATG